GGACCACAGTTCAAAGTCAGCCTGAGCTACAGTATGAGTTAAAGATACCTTGGAAAACATTGAGATTCAGGTTCAAATAAATGTAAAAAAAAAAAAAAAAAAAAAGCAACCTGAAATCCCAACTCAGTTGTAGAACAACCACTTAGAAAGACCTCAGGTTGAATTCCCAGTGTCAAACATAAACACATAAAATCCAATATTCAACAATTTAAGAACAAAACAAAATTAAAAAAAAACTGCTTTATATTGCTCATATCACAAATTAAATTTCCAACACATACTAACTGTAGATGTATCCAACCTTCTTATTAAATAAGAAACACAGAACCAATGCAAAGAAGAAAGCCAAGAGGTCAGAGCTAAGAGCTAAAACCTTACCCTTCCTCCTGCGGTGGTCCTACCTCTCCGAACCAGAGCTACCCCTGTGTTAAAGTCTTTATATAAAGTTCCTGTCCTGCCTTCTCATTGGTTGTAAACCCAACCACACGACCGCCTCCTCATGGCCTGTCTGTATAGGCCTCCAGGTTTTCCATGATTGGTATTAAGATTAAAGGCATGTGTATCCAATAATGGCTGTATCCCTGAACACATAGAGACTTACCCAGCTCTGCCTACCAAGTGCTGGAATTAAAAGCGTATGCCACCACTGCCCTGCTTTCCTATGGCTTGCTAATAGCTCTGACCCCCGGGCAACTTTATTTATTAACATACAAATAACATTTTAATACAAATAAAATATCACCATAACTAACCTTGTATCTGATGTTGTATTAATTAATAAATTATTTTTTCCCATGAGGAAATACTTCATACAGTCTATAATAGGGAAGGAATTGACTGTCTCCTGTTTAAAGAAACCATATAGTTTATCATTTTTGGAAAGCATTTTGGTGGGAGCACTGGGCATTGAGGTGGATCGTAGAACTATGTTGACTTCCTCCTTCTTTCCCTCTTTATATTCAGTCTGGAATCCCAGTCTTATTGCAATATATACAATTTTATATTTCATAATATTGAGCAATAACAATGGCAAAATCCTGTTTGGGAACGGAATTAACTTCTGAGATTTATGTTTATTCCAAACTGCCAAGAAATTGCAGCCAAGTATACCAACACTAGAAATCAATTATTATCTTCAAATATAAGATAAAACTGATGATGTTAGTGATGTTGATAAAGACATTTGGGCAAGTGAAATTTTTATTAGTTGAAAATCTAAAAAAGCTAAATGAGAGATACAGCATTCAAAACAAATCTATATTAACTGGGTATAAATCAATATTTGCATATGAAGAGTCAAAAACATGCTACAGTTGATATTCAAGAAAAATTATGTATGTTTAGATTTACCAAAAGCTTTGAAATGTCACTTAAGCATATTTTATAATATGTATTACAACAGAACAAATTTAATTTAAAAATTGGAAGTAAAACAAAATTTAAGTAAAACATTAAAAATCATGATGATCATTGAAATATTCCTTTTGAACTGAAATATTGTGATTTGGATTGTTGAACATATTTTGGTGATTATCCTTATGTAATGAGGTATCTTTTAGCCAGAATTATCAAAGACAATGTTAATGTGTCAGATGTCAAATCTGTCCTCTCTTCAATTTCTGTAACTATAAGAAATGTGCCAGGAATTATGAAAGATGAGACATAGAATATATTTGTTACTATCAGAGCATCATTTCAAAATTATCTAATATTCTATGTGTTATATTTTCTTTATAGTCAGTTAATAGTTAAAATGCTTAGCAAAAGTCTATGTGAAATTACCAAGAAAATACAGCATGATTGTTGGCTTGTAAAGTTAATGAAAGCATTTGGAATAAGTACTAGGCCAACCTGAGCTATATACCATAGACTTGTCTCCAAAACCCAGTCAAACAAATAAAATATATTTGTGTAATTTGATGAAAGTATGTTCTTTACTTAGACTTCCTTTTGGAGTTATCATATACTGAATGTTTTCTCCAAGATTTGTCTTCTTGATAGGGACAGCTAAGGTTTATTTTATTCTGTAAGTCAGTTATGGTCAGACATAACAGCAAAATAATCATGGGTGGGAATCAACATAAATAAAAGAAGGACTTTAGATACTACTGGGAGAGGACAAAACAGATAAGTTATGAAATCAGATTTTTGAAGCAAAATATTGAGTTTTGAGTTTGAGAACACACCCTTTATAGTACTTTGAATGTGTGGGAGAAAAGGTATATAAAAGTACAAAGAAAGGGTAAACTCATATCCAATTTCTGACTACATTTTGAAACTCATGGCCAAAATGCATATGAAATAGTTTTATTGAGTTCCTGTTATTGTGAAATTGATGCCTCTTATCTTGGGTAACATCCAGTGTTGAATTTCACCTGTAAAGTTGAACAGTAGTTTATTTGCAATAGTTTTCTAGTTAAAAAAAAAAAAAAAACAAAAAACAGGGGTTGGGGGAGGCAGGGAAATCTTGTATGTTCTATCAGGCTATATCTTCTGGGAGCACATTATTTTCTCCTTATATTACACTATACCATGATGAAAGGTTTACTCAGATACACAGACATAAAGTTACTATTTCTATAAAAATAAGCAAACACAAATTAACTTGCCAAGGTCACACAGCTAAGTTATGACAGAACTGGAGTTAAAACATGCAGAGTTCTTGATCATTTACAGAAATTTCACTGTCAAACTCTTTTTAACTTTTAGCTCAGATCTGCGAAATAATTTACACTTAAGTTCTCGGGCTTAAAATCTACCTCATCTAGGTTCTGTTGCCACTTGAAAAGAAGTCTTAACATTCTACTTTGATGGCTCTAACTGAATAAAACCAACCAAAACATTGAATTGTTAATTTTTCCCATATCTAAATAATGCACCATTTGAACATTTTTATACTTGCCTAATTTGGTAGTTTCTCTCATTGATAAGATTATAATTACACAATTTCCTTCTTCCTTTTCCTCCCTCTAAATGCTTCCATAATGCCTCGTACTTGTTCTCCTTCAAGCTCATTAGACTAAATTTAAGGTAGTATAACATCTGAAAAATGACATATATTTTAAATAAAATTTTAGTTACATGCGTTGGACTCTACCAATCAAAAACTAAGAGTGTAAGAGTGCCCATTCAACAGCTTTTGATATTAACAGTGGCAATTTGACTCACTAATAATCAATATAAAAATACAGCTTGGATACAATAAAAAAAAATATAAAACTGAACAATTTGAGTAGTACTAGCTAGGAATGGAATATCTAACTCCAGGATGCTGGTGAAGAATAGTAGAAACTTCGGTAATTTTAAATACAAGCAATTGAGAAGGTGAAACATTGGTGTGGTTTCAGGTGAAATCTAAGGTACATTGTAATGTAAAAATTACAATTCGGAAAAGCCAGAATTTTACTTATGCCTTTGGGCTCTGCAACATAGTAATATGTTCGGTTAAGTTGATACTTTACTGGAAAATGTAAGGCATTAGGTGAAGAAAGAATTAATGTAAAGGATAAGGGAAATATTTTTAAATCCTTTATTATAGTTCTCCATCAAATTTTGAAAGAAAAATATACAAGTTAGCAAAAATTCTGGATCTCAAGAGGTTGTCCATATATATATATGTATCAGAAAAAATATGTAGTAAGTGATATTTTTACTTAGAAATTTGTAGTCAGACTATCTTTGGACTGCCAACTCCCAAATTATGACATGAATACATTTTATTAATTATGAAAGATTGGCCTTAGCTAAGGCTTGTTTTCAATTAACACTTAAAACTTAAATTAACAAATTTACATTAATGTACATTCTGCCACATGGCTTGTTACCTCTCCTTAGTACAGTATGTTCAACTTCCTCCCTATCTTGTTGGAAAATCTCTGCATTCTCAGATTCTTCCCCAAGTTCTTCTCTGTCTCTGGAAGTCCTGCCTATCCTCTCCTGCCTAGCTTTTGGCCATTCAGCTCTTCATTAAACCAAACAGAAGGTGCCTTAGGAAGGTGAGATAAAACAGCAACATATCTTTGCACAGTGTGATCAAATATCCTTCAACAGAAACTCAACTAGTATGTCCTTTGTTGTAAACAGGAATGAACAAAATATATACATACATAATATATCTTGCCTGATATAGAGCTAAAGATGACAGATGAAATCTGATGTGCTATGAAACCTCATGCAATCCAATTCATGATGAAATTTATGAAAGTTAAATAATTGCCAGTTCTTCTATATTTTGCCAATAATGATGAAAATACTAAGCTTCATAGCCATGTGTTTGGAGAAGGAAGAACAGTGGTAGAGAGTAAAGACATAGGAAGAGAGAGAAAAGGGACAGAATGAGAATGAGCACAAAATGAGTGATCATGAGGTAATGGAGGTGATCTAGTCTTCAGAAAAATACTAAAAATTCACCAAATTAGACCAGGATCCTAATTTGATCAGAGTTCTTATTTTTAAATTACAGGATTAGGATTAAAACTGAAAATGATAACATATGAACTACTTGATGGAAATGGCAAATTTATTGAAATGAAATAAGAGCTGAGAGAAACATATGTTTACTGTTCAAAAATACCTAGCATTTGCTATTCTGTTGTAGCTGCATATAATCCCTTGTAGAGATTTATCTTCATTCTATAAGTACATGATCATGATCCCATTGTACTGAGGGCTTTTTTTTATAATTTTTAATTGTTTTTTTTATTTGTATTTCTTTATTTTTCTTTTTGAGAAAAGGTCTCATTAAATTACATTAGTTGAACTGGAACTTGCTATATCAACCAAAATCACCTGTAATTCATAGAGATCTGCTTGTATCTGCCAACCAGATATTGAGAATTTTTACTAGACATAAATTGTTTTGATAAGAATTTACATCAACACATATTTTCCTCATTGGTGCCAACAAAATAAATTAAAATTTTGCAAGGAATTATAAATGAATAAACATATATAGGAATACATAAATAAATTAGATCTTTAAGTAAATAAAATTGACTTACCTTGACAAAGCACAGTATATATTTTATAAGAGTGCAGAAGCATGTTGTATTATCAACATCCCCATTTATGAGACAGTATCTTGCAGAAGGTGACAGGGAAAAGCTAGAAACAATAAAGTTAACCATAGTTATTACTAAAAGAAAACATGTGAAAGTAATGTTCATAGAGTGAATGTAGCAATATCACTGGTGCTTATTACAGTTTGTTATTCTTGACACTGAATCAAACTATATTTGACTAAGAGCCATAACATTATTTGAGTCTTATCCATTACTTAAACATGAATGAAAATGAAATACCCCCTATATAAAATAGTTAATATTAAAATCATTGTTAATCTTAATTAGTAAAAAAATTAAATACAGAATCGGTATTTTCCTCATTTGGGTTTTTTTTTTCAGTTGTTTAAAAATAAAGTAGATTTCTTTTCTGTTAAAGTAGAACAATATTGGTATTCATGAGATCATATATTCTTTTGGAAAACTAATAAGTATTTTTAAGGTTTCTATATGATTAAACTTAAGGTTTATTTTTATAATATACACTGATAATTTTTCATTTCACATAGAAATATCTGTCAGAACACAATGTTGAAATTTTATATACCTATATTTTAATATCTCAAAGGTTAAATATGGAGTCTATTAGTAAAAATAAGAGTTCTAGGGGACTTTTATAGTTGTAATCACACGTTTGAGCCCATTTCCTCCCAATTAAAATGAAATTTTAGCTGGGTGGTGGTGGCACATGCCTTTCATCCCAGCACTTGGGAAGCAGAGCCGGGCAGATCTCTGTGTGTTTGAGGCCAGCCTGGTCTACAGAGCAAGATCCAAGACAGGCACCAAAACTGCACAAGGAAACCCTGTCTTAAAAAAAATGAAATTTTATTTTTAATTTATAGTCATTGTAAGAGATTATTTTTTGGCTCAAGCACAGGCCACTCCAGTCAGAAAACAGGTAGGTGACCCACCTGCCTGAAGAAATGCCCCACTTCCTAGATCCTAGATTTGGTTCAAAAAGACCCCATTTCACTGAACCCCTTCCCATCCCACCACCCACTGCCATTGGTTCCAACTGTGGAGGACTTCTGGTTGCCCAGCAGCAGGCCCTGCCTATTAGAATAAATGTTGTAGGCCATTACAGTTGGAAGAGCAGGTTCAGGTCAAGCAAGCCAGAAAAACTGAGACTAACTCAGGCAAAGTACCTTCTGGGCCAGAGACCAAACCAACTTCTAGAACCACAGGTAGCTGGCCCACCAACAGACCTCTTCCATTCATTCAGTGCCCCCAACCCATTGCCTAATCACATACCCCAACTCAGGCAGAGACCACTTACTATACCAAAGGCCTAACTAGCCTACAGAAGTTCAACCCCCTACTTGGACAGAGACTCAGTACTGGATCTTGTCTGCCTTTAGAAATCCAGCCCAAAAAAATCAGAATACCAAAGAGGAAACAGAAACCAAGGAACAAAGCATCCACCCAACAAAAAAGAACTCAGAGATCTGCATGTGGACATCCCAAACCCAGCCACCTAAATGCCAGTGTAAGAACACAATCAACAGCAGCCAGGGCAATATGGCATAACCAAAACCCAGCTATCCTACAACAGCAAGACCTGAGTAGACCAATCCAGGCAAAGCACAAAAAAAAAAAAAAAAAAAATGACCATAAAACCAACTTTATGAAGATGATAGAGGTCCTTAAAGAGGAAATGAAAAAAATGCCTTACAGAAATCAAGGAAAAGACAAACAAAGAATTGGAGGAAAGAGAATATTTGTTAACAAAGACGTTTTATAAGAGTGCATGCAACTGTATATAAAGTTGTTTACACTGTACCATTTGAGAAAAGTTCCAGAAGCTACAAGTTGGTGAAGTTAGTGAGCAAATAGATTTCAATTAGATAATATTTTCTATGTTTTGTTCAATACCTAGCCATCTAATTTCAAAGCTATTCAATTTGACTGTCATTTGTAACTGTGTAAATGCAAAGATAATGTCAATGAAAAATATGGTTTACAAAACTTCCTCAGTTACAACACCTTTAGTGATAATTCCCAACACTTTTAAGATCAAAAGAACTCCATTTAAGAATTTACTACACTGAAGTATCTTAGAGAAAATATGGTATTTATATGAGTTCTACATTCATCTGAATGTGGTAATTTGTAATTACAAAGAAAAAAACTACACAATAATGTAAGTATCTATTTCTGGGCATAATTAACATTAACCCAACATCTAGATAAGTTGTTTGACAAATTTAACTTTAAATGACTACTTGACAGGTGAATTTTATTGGGAAGTGTTGGCAAGTTCCTATCCAAACAGCCTTCAGTATAAAGAAGAGTCTGACAATCTGAGGAAAACTGATTACCATTCTTAGCATTTATTCAAAGAGAAATACAGAAAAATGAAATAAAAAGAAGAGACCATCCATCATAGCCTTGCAAGAGGACCTTTAACTCTTTTGTCCATTAATAATGCTAGTCTCTGCCAGCAGTCTATGAAAAAGATTTCCTCAATATCCTTGGAAAACCTTCATGCTATAAGCTACAAATATGACTATAGTAAAGACAGTTCCTGGATTTTTGTTGAACTTAGTCCAACATCATCATATATGTTACTGAAGAAATCCAACTAAAGTCTTTCAAATTATGTTTATCTTGTCATTTGATGCTTTCTTTAGTTGTGGAATATTATTTTAAGATGTGTTCTATTTGTTAATGCTGTAAAATATTTGTTTAATGATGTAAGTATGTGTTGTATTCTTTTATTTGCATTTTTAAAACTCTCTGAGTCTGTGTTACTTTGCCTGTCTAAAACACTTTATGGTCTAATATAGAGCTTAATGGCCAATAACAAAGCAGGAGAAAGGATAGGCAGGGCTAGAAGACAGAGAGAATAAGTAGAAGGAGACATCTGGGAGGAGAAGATCAAGATAAAAAAAAAGGGGGGGACCAGCCAGTCAGCTACATAACCAGAAACAGTTTAAGAAAGGAAGAAAAGTTATATAGAAATAGAGAAAAGTAAAAGCCCAGAGGCAGAAGATAGGTGGCATAATTTAATTGAAGAAAATATGACTAGAAACAAGCCAAGCTAAGGTCAGGCATTCATAAGAAATAATGTCTCCATATGTATTTATTTGGGAGCTGGGTGGTGGTCCCCCAAAAGGAACAATAAAAAGAGCAAAGGTGTAAAAAAAAATTTTTGGTGCCCACCATAGTACCAAATTGTCATTTAAAGTCTCAGAAACCTGGAAAAAATAAAAATGATATGGCTCCTTTAAGAATTTTTGCCTTAGTGGAAGCCCTTGAGCTTCTTAGAATTACATCAGCAATGTGCTGCTTCTTCAAGATTCTGTATGGAGGAACAAAACCAGAATAGTGAAGATGAAAGATATTTAATAAATGATTAAGAAGGACTTGAAAGATTATTTCCATTCCAATATACCAGCAAATTTTAGGAGTAGACTCACAGAAGAAAGTCTCAACAACAACAACAAAATAAAGGCTTGGAGTTCTATAAGAAATTTTAACTTAATACATGAATTTCAAACACAACATGATGGTTGTATTCATAAAGGTCAATGAGATTGGCAGACTCATCAAACCATGATGGGGGTAGTAAGAGCATCAGTGTGAAGCAATATCCCTTATTCAGAGCAGACTGAGCCTGTATGATGAAATAGAGATCAGAAGAGTTATTTTATCATCACTTGACTATACCTATTTTGTATCAATATCATTATCTCCTACTTAACAGTTAAGATGTATCTGCAGATTCATCAATTCAAGCATGTCTTCTCTTCCCTCTTCTATGATTGGTGTGTAAAATGAATAAAAATTTCTTAATAAAATGTCTTCTCTAAAGACTGTGTATAAAAATACCATGAAATACACCAAATTTAACTATCACTAGCTAGCATTACTAAATAGACATGTTTGTGTGACTATTTTTGAAACCCCTTCATGAAAATATATAAACATAAGCATAAACAAATTTAACTAACTTTTTCTTGTGGACATGTGGTTATATAAAGTTGAAAACAGGGCTTGGAGAGATGGCTTAGTGGTTAACAGCACTGACTGCTCTTCTAGAGGACCCTGGTTCAATTCCCAGCACCCACATGGCAGCTCACAACTGTTTGTAACTCCAGTTCCTGAGATCCAATACCCATGGCAAAACACAAATGTACATGACATAAAAATAAATAAGTTTAAAATATTTTTTAAAAAAGTTGAAAATATCCAATTAAGAATTCAAATAAACAACAATTGCAGTCACTATTTTTTGTAATATTTAAGAAACAGAGCCGGGTTGTGGTGGTGCACACCTTTATTTTTGTTTGTTTGTTTGTTTGTTTGTTTCCTTTTTTTCTTTTTTGTTGTTGTTGTTTTTTTTTTTTTTTATATTTTGCAATACAATTCAGTTCTACATATCAGCCACGGATTCCCTTGTTCTCCCCCCTCCCGTCCCCCTCACCTTCCCCCCAGACCACCCCCCCCATTCCCATCTCCTCCAGGGCAAAGCCTTCCTGACAGACTGAGTTCCACCTGGTAGACTCAGTCCAGGTAGGTCCAGTCCCCTCCTCCCAGGCCGAGCCAAGCAATCCTGCATAGGCCCCAGGTTTCAAACAGCCAACTCATGCAATGAGCACAGGACCCGGTCCCACTGCCTGGATGCCTCCCAAACAGATCAAGCCAATCAACTGTCTCACCCATTCGGAGGGCCTGATCCAGTGAGGACCCCTCAGCCATTGGTTCATAGTTCATGTGTTTCCATTCACTTGGCTATTTGTCCCTGTGCTTTATCCAACCTTGGTCTCAACAATTCACCCTCCTCATTCTCGCTAATTGGACTCCCAGAGATCCACCCAGGGCCTAGTCATGGACCTCTGCATCCAGATCCCTCAGTACTTGGATGAGGTTTCTAGCACGACAATTAGGGTGTTTGGCCATCCCATCACCAGAGTAGGTCAGTTCGGGCTATCTCTCGACCATTGCCAGCAGTCTGTTGTGTGGGTATCTTTGTGGATTTCTGTGGGCCTCTCTAGCACATTGCTTCTTCCTATTCTCATGTGGTCTTCATTTACCATGGTC